GTAGACATACATATATATATATATATGTGTATACACACACACACACACACACACACACACACTTGCTTTGTTTTGTTGGTTTTATTGAGACAGGTTCTTACTATGTAGTTCCAGCTGACTTTGAACTTACTAAGTAGACCTGATTGGCCTCAAATTTGTGGCATTTCTCCTGCCTCAGCCTCCCAAATGCTGGGATTACAGGCATGCACCACCATGCCAAGCCTAGCAAGGAAGAATTTCAAAAGCAATAGGTGCATTGCTGTGAAGTATACAAAATACCTGTACATCTCACTATCAAAAGGTGGATTTTCTGAGTCTATCCATCAGTATTTCTAAATTTACCTACCCACAGAAGGCAAAATGAAGGCCTATTAATTATAGATCATGGAGACAAATGGCATTTTAAATATATCTGAGAAAACTCAAGAAAGTATGAGAAAAACTACCTGATGGCAGAATTTGGTCTCGTTCTTTTAATGTAATCCATGGCCTCGGAGGAAGCTGCTCTGGATGAACTGAAAAAAAAAAAAATTTGCAAACATCAGTTAATTTCATGTATTTCTAAAATCAGTAAACTTAATTTATAATATATACTAAAATATACTATATATAGTATAATATAAACTAAACTTAGTTTATAATGTGAAATCAACCTGTTTTCATTCAACTATAGTGGCCCACAAACTGACTTAAAATCCAATTCTAAAATTTAGTGAAGATTTAGAAACCAGAGGCCATTTAAGAAGAGTTATATAGAGAAGATAAAACTAGTATCTGAAAAAAAACATTAGAAACTCTTTAATGCATTATGGTATTTATGAAAAGTAAAATCTTATGTCTTAGTTACATATGTAAATTGTGTTGATTCAGTCTTAGGAAATCAAAGCTATGTAAAATTACAACATGCTGATTAATAAAACACTCAAACATATTTAATATAGAAATATATATGAATATATGATAAAAATTGAAACTAATGAGGCTTTTATTTCATGCTCTTACTTTCTCTTTTATTATGTCAAAGCAAAGCAAGAGATAAGAATAAAATTAGGCTATACAGAAAATAAGGCACTGGTTAAACATTAATTGTTCAGACACGGTTATCAATACCACAGAACTAAATTAGCAGATGAAAGAAAATTCACTAAGTTATGATTTAACTACCTCCTTTTCTCTTTCTTTTTAAAACTCTACACAATTACAGAACAACAGCATTCACGCTTGCAGATTTGCCCACGGTTTTAGTGGCTGAGCAATGCGTTTCTTTAAAACGAAAATATTCCATTTTCATCCAACTCTGGAAAGTTTGACCAAAGTAGCCTATATCTTAAAAAATGTATCACTTCAATAACTATTTTGGTGCTCCAAAAATCTATTAAAATAACCACTTTTTTTGCAGAGTACAATAAATATTTTCTGTATAATCCCCATGTTGTCAGGGGGGGAAAAAATGAAAGTTATCTTAAAATTACAAATCCAGCTGGTTCAACATATTTAATCCTAGAATATAATTGTGCCTCCTAGGAGAACTTAACTAATAAATTTATGGCAACTGTCTCAAAAATGGAAATATGTAAAATGAAAGCCAAACAAGACATTCAAGGTGTTGAGATTTTTGGTACCAAAACTCTACATAGGTTAGCTTTAGTAAAAATTTCAGAAATTAAAAGGTTTCTCAAAATAAAATGAGTAATGTATTATTAACATTTGGTGCTTACCAAACCTTAACACATCACAATGCATCAATATAAGTGAAATGCAGTGTTCACCAATAATATCCAAATGGCCAAAAACATAAGAAATGATAATTACACACACAAAAAAAAGAAATGATAATCACCCCATTAAAATGACACAACATTTTTTAAATAAGTTGACCCAAAATTTTAAAGTCTAATGGTATCCTGGGTTGGTGTTGGTGAAAAGAAATAGCTACTTGCAGCCAGATACACCTGTAATTCTAGCTAAGGCAGGAGGATCTTGAGTTGAGGCCAGCATGGGCAACTTAGCAAAACCCTGTCTCAAAACAAGAAAGGGCTAGGGAGGGGTAAAGCACTTGACTAGCATACACAAAGACCTGAGTTCAATTCCCAGTACCATAAGCACACAGAAAGCTACTCTTATGTACAACTTCTAGGAATATAAATTAAAACAGCTATCTGGAGAACAAGTGGCATCATCTTCTAAAACTTAAAAAACATACAAACAAACAAAAATCCATGGCCCTATGACCCAGCAACTCTGTATCTTTGGATCAGCCCTATCTGCTAAGGCAACATTCAAACATTATTCATTGTACTGTTGTTTATAATAGCAAAAGCAATGGTAAATATCTAAGAAACACCCATAAGAAAATCTATTATATAGTTTAGAAAACAGATGTGTATATGTTAAATAGAAAAATATTCAAGAGATACTATAAACTAAAAGGAATTTTAAAATGTGGATTAAATGTGTTATAATTTATTAGAAAAATTTAAAGCTACACACTAAAAGTAATTCTATAAAATTTCTCCTGGTACAATTTTGTATGTAAATAACTACCAGAAATCATTCTAACTTATCACTATATACATAAAGGAACTAGAACTAAAGGTTCAAAAAAAATTTAAGAAGAGGCCAGTGAGGCTTATAGGATCTCAAAGTTTAAAAAAATTTTTTTTAACCTTAACAGGAATTTTAACATACTTTAAAAGGAAGATCATATATTCATGTGAACAAATATCTAAAATCAATTTTTAAAGCTGGAACATAAATCAATGATACAACAAACTAAAGAAACAGAGATACATGGAACTATCACATAAAAATAAATGTACTGGCAACCCAATCTGCCAAAAGCAGTATCTCCCGAAAAGCCCAAAACTACCACATCATCTCACCTCATACCTCACACCAGCTGGCAGCAATAGGTCTGATCTGCCCATGGTGAGGGTTATCAACTGAGCCTGGAAGGAACAATAAAACTTACATGCCTAACTTAAACAGGGCAACTGTCTTTAAAATTGCAAAATTAAAAAAGGATCAAGAAATCAAGAAGGCGGAACAGAAGCAAGCAGCTATCACAGCCTCTCTGTGACCCATAATGGAGACAGCTAGAGCTACTGAACAAGGAGAAAGAGAAGAGCTCCAAGAATCAAGAAAGAGCTAATAAGGAAAGATAAAATCATTAAAAAACAGAAAGGCAGCACCGAAAAGAACAAAGCAGGCTGCAAAGTCAACCTGAAATTGAGTCTGTAAGCACAAGGTGAGCCCAGAGAGGGCTGGCAGCCCCAGTGGAAAACAACGACCAGAATACTAGCTCAAGTAAAAACTGGGTTATTACAAGCTATAAACTTATTGCAGATTTATCATGAAAGTGACTCCTCTTACATGGTAGGCTTGCTCAGAAGAAATCTATTGTAGTGCCTGCCATCCCTTGGAGTAGTATTACCATGAGCCACTTGGATAGAGGTATATTGTTTGAGACTAAGCTGCTTCAGAGAACAGAAGCAACAGAACAAACACATGTCAGGGTTCCTATGTACGACTGGCAGGAAGAGAGCCAAAAAAAAGACAGTGGAAAGTGGAGGGCTCATCATCACAGACGCCCTGAGATGTTTGAGCAGTAGAGAGCTCAGGCTGTGGAAGGCAACAAACAGTTGGCAGTACTTCTCCCCATGGTGAGGAGCCGCATCTATATGTGGTTTTCACAGGGGGCTGAGTTGGAAAGCATTAAGATCAAGTGCAGCATTTTTGATTCTCCTCAAAGAAATCAGTGGTCTCTCAGCTTCTCCCAAGTGCCAGTGTGTTCAGGATACACTTTTTTTTTTGTACCAGGGATCAGACTTGGGTCTTGTGCTTGCAAGGCAGGCAATAGAACCACTTAGCTAAATCCCCAGCCCTCAAGGATACACTTCTGCTTAGACATTTGCCACATCCAAGGGTAGATCCAAAGACGAACCTCTGGAGCAAGTAGGACAACTTAGTAGCTCAAAAGCCAAAAGTCACTTGAGGACAGCAGTGGTGCAGGGTGCATACAGTAACATATATAAACTGTAAAAGTCTCTGGAATTACAACAGCCATAAAGAAACAACATACCACTGAATAGCCCCTCCCAGAGGATAAGCCCAGACCAGACTCAGCTTTCACAAAGAAATGGCCTATCAAGTAGGTAGAAACAAATGAGGTCCAAGTTGCAACTCACTAAAAAAACAAAGATACTAGTGGATTCAAATACTGCAGTTCTGAAAAAAACTTTAACTATTCAACCCCTTGATATAGAGGCCTTTCTGGACTCATATTTCTTTTTCTTTATTTTTTTCTCCTCTTTATATTTTTTTCCTTTTTTCCTTCCTTTACCTTCTTTTCTTTTCCTTATTTTCCAAAACTTTTACATAATTTTATATAGCTTGTTCATTAATCAGATCCATATGTATCTCACTTCTTTCTCTTCCTATTTTACCTTCCTTTTTCTTTCTAAATTTTACTTCAATTTTCCCCTTTCCCCAACCTCACTATCATTATTATTACTAAACTTTATGAATGTTTAGCATTTCACTTTAGATTGATTTTTTTCTATTGTTAATGATGGTATAGTTGTTGCTTTTAATTAGTTTTTACTGCATGCCAATATCAGGTTTGCCTCTGTGCCATCATCACTCTGAGCAGTGATGGGGATGTGATGGAAATCACAACCTAAAAACAAGGCTGTACACTAAGACCTTCACATAAAATTGGAAAATATTCATCTCAACTGATGCCCAAGTCTCAGTATAGAAATATGAACATAAAAAAATACACTATAGCTCTTCCAAAAGTTCATAATTTGTCATAATTGAAAAAAATACTGAAGTAGATGAAATGCCAAAAAACACAAAAGACTAATTTTTAAAATAATCAATGATACCAAAGATGATGCAAACAAGTGACCTAATGAAGAAAGACAAGGCAGGTTATCAAGGACTAATTCAACAAAGAGAGATTGTGAAAAAGAACCAAACCGAAATATCAGAAATGAAAAGTTCAGTAAGTCAAATAAAAAATTCAGCTGAAAGCTTCACCAATAAGCTGGATCAAGCAGAAGACAGAATTTCAGAGCTTCAAGATAGCAATGAATTATCAAATTCAAGCACTAAGAAATTATAGACATAAGATCCAAGAACTGGGACGTAGCTAAAAAACCAAACTTAGGAAGTTTTGGTGTAGAACAGGACACCCAGGATTAGATTAAGGGAACAGAAAACCTATTCAACAATCTATTCAACAAAACAATAGAAAACTCCCCCAAATTTTGGATAAAATATGAGTATCCAGAAACAGAAGGCATTCAAAACACCAAATAGGTGTGACCAGAAGAGAATCTACCCCCATGTCACATTATAGCTACCAGGTCAAAAATACAAAACAAGGAAAAAACACTGATACCTACAGAAAGTCTATAGAGGCAAACCCATTGGAATAATTACACACTTCTCTGCAGAAACTTCAAAGGTCAAGAGAGAATAAAACAATGTTTTGGAAGCCCTGAAAGAA